TGAGACTGCTAGCTAGTCTAGCTAGTGTCAGTCTGCACTTCCGGGCCCAGGGGCTAATCTGTACTGCAAGAACAGTTCAGGGCAGCCAGAGACGTCCCGTCCTGAGTCCTGTGGTAACAGGAGGCTCTCGGGATATGAGTATTTTGCCCCCCATTGATTCAACTGTACCAAATCAACCACTCAATTAGCATTTCTTTTTTTCTAATGCACTCAGACTAGGGATGTTGGTTTTCAACACTTACTAGGTTCACACGCACCTTACCAACCCTTGGATATAATAAGAAAATTATTTAATAAGGATGTTCCTGCCACATGCTTTATTTTGAATCTTATGGAACTGCAAGCCCTACACCTATTTTACTAAATAAGTGCTCACGACTGTGTAAACTGAGGAAGAGAAGGCTAGGAGACTTGCCTAATATGAATAAAAATTTCAGAACCAATTAAGGGTCCATAAACAGGACCTTTACCTTATTAACCCTAGTTCTCCCCTTGTCTGAGGAAATCCTCAGCATCCTAGAGCCTGGAAAGCAAGTGCTTTTTGGTGAATGTACTGACTTCTTCCCAGCCTGCTGTTGTGGACCTGAGCTGCGGCCTCCAGCCCTGCTATCCCTCCTGCACACTGGCTCCCCCCACAGCCATTTCTCTGTTCTCATGAAGTGTTTGCGCAGCCTTTCGTCCATGGGAAATCTTGGGAAACCAAGGACCGGTTTTCCCTCTGACATCTGTGAATGCCTTAACCTCCTTTATTCTACATTAAGTCCTAGTTCAGGTTCTTTTGAGAACGGGGAGTGGGGGGGTGGGGGGGGAAGGGGCAGAGAATCCCGAGCGGGCACTGCTCTGGTAGGTTAGCTCAATGCAGAGGGTCACCTGAGCTGAAACCAAGAGTCCACATGCTTAACTGACTCAGCCACCCAGGCACCCCAGTCCTATTTTAGCCTTAGAACTCCAAATGGTGAAACACTTCAATAAAATAACCATGATTTTGAAAACAAAAACAAAAACAAAACTCTAGTTCTCCTTTGCTAGGAGAACACATAAACACACACATACACAGACTCAGAATTTCCAACAATATGACATGCCCAGATCAGTGTGCAGTGGTGGCTTGTCAGGGTCTTACTCATCCTCGAGGCCCTTGAACTCCTTGGAAATACCAAAAGAAGGAGTTTCCAACAATGGCATCTTTCAGAAACTGAAAAATGCAGTTGTTCCACTCCACGGGTGTGAAATAACTGAGGATTACAGGTCCTATCTTATAATGCAAGCCATCATCCTGGACAACCAGAGACTGAACTAAGGAGTGACTGCTGGGGCTTCCCCGGAACCCCCTGGAAGCAAAGTCACTGCAGGTTGGAGACGCCCTGTTCTTGCCTGGGCCATAACGCTGTCACTGCGATAAAGTGAAGGCAAGTCATTTGAGGCAAAATGGGAGAGCTGGTTGGACATGCCCGGGACCTAGTAGACGTTCACCTGTATTAAAGGCCTTCCTAGAGTAAGAGTATTTTTAAAAAGGAAGCATTAAAGGAAGCATTCAGAAAATGACTAGTCAATCACTGAGGCAAGCATTTCTGTACTCTTTTTCCTGGTGCAGGCTTGAAGAGTGGGATGGGGAGACGATGAGAGGAGGGACAGGGCCTCTGGGATGGCAACTTGTGCACTGAAGACCCGTTTAGCTGGTTTGTGACCTGCCTATGCAGGCTCCTGCCCTATCACCTCCAGGCCTCGTGAGCTGAGCGGAAGACCCATATCTACGGTTTAACAAGTATCTCTGGAGTCCCTGCTGCTATCAGGCCTGAGGCACAAAGATGAACAAGAAGAGCCTAACGTCCCAGCATCTGTGGGGCATGAAAACCCCGCAAAAAGATTTCACCTTCTCCAGTGCCGATAAAATAATATATGGTTGTTATTGTGCCTCAGCAGCCTCTCAAGCTCTGCTTATTCGCCAGGGCAGGCCTCGTTTGCAACATGCTCTCACATCATCTACGTAAACCAACAGGACGTCCCTGCTATTGCAACATTTTTGGGCCCAGATTACACCCTGGCACATGAGACATGGAAGCGTCAGGTTGGCA